CTACTTACTACTTGTACTACTATTCCTACTTCATGGTTTTTCACTTATCGCAGGGTTTTGCGGCACGGATCCCCCGCGATAAGTATTTCTGATAACAACTAATGCTAAATTGTTCAAACCTGCAGGAGCATCTTTTCAACCCGTCCATGTTCTGCAGATCACTCAGAATAATTCTCATTCACTCGACAGAGTCCATTAAATAATTTACGCTTCCTATATACAAATATTTAGGTTTAAATTGTCAGTTTTATACCAATAAGCATATCAAGGGTAGTGGGGTGGTTCAGCGTCTTGCCCACGGACACTTTGGAGCGCTCCAGGGGATCGGACAGTTTCCCCAATCTTAAACTTGCCCTCTTCTGTCATTTCACAGACAATCTTTTTGTGATTAATCAGAAGAAACCTGATAAAGACGAGATCACTGTGAACCGTTTGCATCATTCCAAACCTCGGATTGTATCTACAATATTTCAGTGTGCATTTCCTTTTAAGAGCCAAAGACAGGAGGCAACACTTCACACGATGCCGTTTCTGTGATATTTACACTCCTTCCTGTTTGTTTTATTTTCCAGGAAAGTTAACAAGTGTTACCGGGGCCGCTCATGTCCCATCATTGTCCACTGCAGGCAAGTACAACATTCACCAAGGCTGTCTGTATTTTATTCTTCTTCGTGTGGTTAAAAGTCACGTTTAAGCTGAATGTCTGTTTGTGTGAGTTCTGCGTGTAAACCAGTGAGACGGGCTTTTTAATGCAGACGAATGCTCTGTTTACTCCGACCGCTTTAAAAGCCACACTTGGTGCTCATCAGCACGTGGACGGGGGAAGCATCTGAAATGAGAAATTGTAAAGCAAGTGTTTTATGATGATGAACTGCCCATGGCGGAGCGTAACTTTTAATTGGAGGCACTTCAAAGTTTGCGGTGTCGCGGTCGGGGCCTGCGGGGGAGAAGGAGGGAGCGGTAAATCCAGGTAGACGGGACTGCAGCTGTTGTGTTTGCATATGGATGTGTAATCACATCTGCGTACCCCCACCACCTGAGGAGATGACTCACACCAGTTAGATGCATTTAAATCAGCATTTAGCTGAGTTGATTCTTATTTTACTTTTTATAAAAAACATAATCTTCTGATTAGATCAAAGAAAACCTCGCACAAAGTGATTTATTATTTAAAACGTTAGAATGGCTCCTCCAGACATTAGGATTGTCTTCACGGCACAGATTGATCATCCTGCTTGCTTCACCGAATTGTTATAAAAAAAAACAGTTACAGTTTAAAAAAAAGAGTCAGTTGGTTTAGTGATTTCTTGTTGTCATTTTTAATATTTTATAAAACATGAAAACAAAGGGTGGACTGCTCGCTTCAGGTCCAAGGTGAGGTTCTGCCTCAAGTGGAGGAGTTCAAGTATCTCTGGGTTTTGTTCACGAGTGAGGGAAGAACGGAGCGTGAGATTGACGGACGGACTGGTGCAGCATCTGCAGTATTGCGAATTCTGTACTGGTCCGTTTTGGTGAAGAGGGAGCTGAGCTGTAAGGCAAAGCTCTCTGTTTACTGGTCGATCTACGTTCCTCCCCTCACCTGTGGTCATGAACTCTGGTAAGGATGCTCCCTGGGCGCCTCTCTAGGGAGGTGCTTCAGGCATGTCCGACTGGGGGGAGGCCCCTGGGAAGACCCAGGATACGTTGGAGAGACTACGTCTCTCTGTTGGCCTGGGATGGGTCCTCCGAGAAGAGCTGGAAGAGGCGGCTGTGGAAAGAGATGTCTGGACCTCCCTGCTCAAGATGCTGCCCCTGAGACCTGACTTCAGAGCAAGTGGGAGATGATGGATGGATGGATGAAAACAAATGAAATAGTTTAGATGTTTGACACATGTTGTTGTGAAAGTTTAAAAGCGCTCGTTGGGAGTGAAACGTGCAGAAATGCAGGAGCACTTTCAGTAATCAGCTGCTCAGAAGCTGCTGGGCCATAATTTCATTTCAGCTGTTTTCTTTTTTCTTTCCTCCTGGCCAAACATAAAGTAAAGGAACACCAACAGAGCAACAAATATTGTTGTTATTATTCATACAGTTGTTTAATGTGTCTTACATTGAGTTGAAAAGAAGGTCCTTCCAGTGACATGAACGTGCTGAATTATTATTAGTAGAACATCTTTAATTCATCGCTGGGTTTTAAAAGTAGACGCTCACTGACAGCTACACCATCCCAAAAGCTGAATCCTTACCAAACCATGTTCAGGTCAGCGCTTACGAAGAGCGAGTGTGGAGACTTTTATTTCTAAACGGTTTCTCCCAGAGCCAACACTGCCGAGCCATTTATCGCCCTAATGTACACTGAGAGCAGAGCGAAGCAATCAGCGAGAGGAGAGAGCCAACAGAAGAGTGCATTTGCCAAAACTTCCTAATCACACACAGCTTTCTCCATTTATTCTTCTTCGGTTAGAGCGCACCTGTGCTGCTATTAATTTACTGCATGAAAAATAACCTTTTTTAGTCTGTTGGAGGAATCCAGTCCCACCAGTTTGCACACTGCAGGTTTTACTGCACATCTTACCAAGACATGAAATAAAGGGTGCAGACATCAGACTATAATGCTTTAACTAAGTTTAGATTACAAAATGTTCTCACATACATTACTGTAATTAATTATTTTTTTTATGAACAAAGAAATAACTCCTGCCCAAACGTCAGGGTTATGAGCATAACTTGAAAATAAGCAACATCCTAACTTCCATTTGGTGTGTGTCTGCACCCTAAGCATAAGAAAGGTCACTGCCTCTCAGCCAAAAGGTTGCTGGATCGAATCCCAGCAGGGGGGCCTTTCTGGGTGGAGTTTGCATGTTTTCTCCATGCATGCATGGGTTTTCTCCAAGTAGGTTTTAGGAGAATTGGTAACTCTAAATTGTCTCTTTTGTCTTGTTTGTCCCGTTTAACAAAGTGCATGGGCAAGGGTACAGTTTTTCAAGCTGCGCACATAATAATAGGACACAATTTTCAAAAGCGGCCCCTCACATTGTGGCTACATGGCTCATGGGATCACAAACACTCAAGAGTTCAGTGAGACCACAATGTAAAATCTGTCTAGTGTCTTGCAGTTTAGTCTCCAACAAGACACCCCCTTTATTCCTCAGGAAGTCCTTATGACTGTTTGGTCCAAAGACATGTTTTAATTGCCTTGATTTTGAAAAAAAATAATCCAACTTCGTGGTTTTCAAATCTTCCTCATGCAATGAACTTTGATTTGGAGAAAGTTCTTGTTCAGGGAGGGTTTTGGCTTTGATCAAAGAGTTTTACCTTCATTTGTAATAATCGGGAATCAAAGATGGTTTTAAGAAGTGATATCGAGTCAGGGCAGGGATATCTGTTGCTTCTCAGCGGTACTGGCTGTAATCCTACCCCATATGTGCAGAATGTTCTCAGGATTTTGTATTTATTATTGTGATGTTATTTGATATTCTTTGCAAATTTATACAGGAAGGCTATTTCACCTTGTTGTCATGTAACCCCAGTTGAGATGTTCTGCCAAATTTTCCCCCTAAAGATACTTTTATTTTTTCTGTTCCAGTTCTTGTTTGCATTTTCAGTTCGTTTAGAATTAGGTGTTCAACAGATGTGAATAAGCTAAGATATATTTAAATAATGTAAAGGGATGATTTTGATTAAATGCATTGCCTGATAACAAACAAAATATCTTAGCTGCTAATAAGAAAATTATTGAAAATTAAAAAATGAAACTAAAGCTGTTCCACTCTGTGTTCTTGCATCTGCAGTGATGGTGCTGGAAGAACCGGAACCTACATCCTGATAGACATGGTCCTCAACAGGATGGCTAAAGGTGGGCATCGTCTTTCCTCTCCGTCTCTCATCACGTTCTTCCCTCCTGCCATTGTGGAGACCCGGTTACCATGGCAACATGTCATCATCTTCATGCACTAACTATACATGGGAAAAATGAGAATAACCTGTTATCAGTGTTGTTTTTTCTGTTTTTGATGATGATATTAAGGTAACTGGAGAAACAATAAGTACAACTGATGACATTTTCCATTCACACAGTCACATTCTGCCTCCGAGCCAGAAAAAAAACAAAAACGTTTTTACACTGCGTTACATTTAGTAGTTACTGTTTAAATACTCCTAATGAGTTTCTATTTCATTACCTCTGTTGGCACTTTAGTGTCATAATGCAGCTTTTTTTCGTCTCCTAATACCAACAAAACCCAGTTAAGCTCAATTAAATCCAGAGGAAGAGTAAATGTGAATTACACAACAACACAAAGTACTGATACAAACACTGACCCCAGACACATTTGTTGAATATGATGCTAATACTGGAAAAAACAACGTCTGCATTTCATACTCGTTTGCAATGGTCGGTGTGATTCTAATAAGTTTTATTGATTGTTTACTTTGTGGCTCAGTGGAGATTTGGTGGGTAAATAATGATTTAAGCTGCAGCAGACTGACTGGACACTGAAGCTGTCAATCATTTTCACACACAAATGCAGAAACGATGCCCCTGATTATAATTACCCAGATCCAACCACAGACAATTTAGTTACTCTTGGATTTTCTTGGACATTTTTTAACAGCTACACTGCTGAATATGTTTATCTTAAGCTATTTTCTCCCACAGGTTTGTTGTTGTTGTTTACAAATTACAATCTGAAAACCTGTAAATTTCAAAACAGTGAAGTTGTCATGCCAGGTCCATAGGTGGCGATGTAAAGATAAGCAACATGTCAAAATGTAAGAGAAGAGCTTTCTGAATATGGCTCACCTCTACAGTAAAACATTTTTCTCATCATCTCATCTCAACAAAATGACACAGTCAAGTATTTGTCAGTGTGAGTTGGGTTTCAGTGTGTGATCAATATGATTAAGTTTATAGAAACATATTTGGTTAAGACAGTATCTGCTGTGGCTACTGGAAACTAGTTGATTCTTGACAGATGAGATTGTGTGCATGTGTCAAACTTCAGCTCTACATCTCTTAAGACAGGTTGGATATGCCCTCAACAAAAATGGAAGAGGGTTTGAGACATCCACAAAGGTTTTGTGAGATGTATTGTTGGACGAGTCTCAATTTCAAGTGACACGTTGTTGACTGGTGGCGCGGTGACACAGTTGTTAGAGCTGTTGCCTCTCAATGAGCAGGTCGCCTGATCAAATCCCAGCCGTGGTCTTTCTGGGTGGAGTTTGCATGTTCTGTCTGTGCATGTGTGGGTTTTCTCCGGGTACTCCAGTTTCCTCCCACAGACCAGAAACATGCATGTTAGTCTGATTGGTAACTCTAAATTGTCCCTAGGTGAGTTAGAGAGAGTGAATGGTTGTTTATCTCTGTGTCCCTGTCCCTGATTGCTGGATATGGGCACCAGTGACTCCTGCAACCCGAGAATGAAAAAGAGGGTCAAGAGGAAGTAAGGAGGTCAGAAGGAAGGAGGTCTGAAGGAAGGTCAGAAGGTAGGAAGATTAGGGAGGGAGGGAGGGAGGGAGGGAGGGAGGGAGGGAGGAAGGAAGGAAGGAAGGAAGGAAGGAAGGAAGGAAGGA